CCAGGCCCAGAGTGCTCTGGGGGGACCTGAGAAGGCACTGAATTGCTCTGGATATAAAGGATCAGGAAGCAGTAGTGTTTCCCTGGGTGTCTGGGCCACCAAGACAAGGAATGGGACAGGACCCAGGCTAGGAGGAGACACCAGTTGGGGAGATGGGAGGGTGAATGAGGCTGGGGGAGTCAAGGCGCAGAGGGTGTGATGGACTTATCCCAGAGAGAGGGCTGCAGATCCTGCAGGCCCAGGGAAGCCATGATTTTTTTGAGATGGGTTTCCCTGTAGTTCCAGTGTACCTGGGACTACCTATGTAGACAAGGCTGCTCTGGGTCACAGAGATCAGAGTGCTAAGATTAAAGGCATATACCACCACACCCAGCTAAAAAACTTTTATAGGAACAAAATAATAAAACCTAATAGTATTCCATTGTGTGTGTGTGTAGCTGATTTTCTTTATCCATTTTATTTTGATAGATACTTAAAAATGTAGTGTTTGTGAGTAGTGCTGCAATAAAATATGAATACATAATATTGATAGATATAATATTGCTATATATATAATATTGATGTTTAAGGAACTGATTTCAAATCTTTTAAGTAAATACCTTAAAATGGGATTTGTGGATCACATGATATTTCTGTTTTCAGCTTTATGAAGTTCTCTGCAGCTTTCCAATTTATATGCTCACTGACAGTGTACAAGAGCATCCCTTTATGGGTAACTGTGATTGATAGCTTTAGTTGTCAACTTAATATACCTGGGTAGTGAAATTCTCAATTGGTGAATTGCCTCCATTTGAATGGCCTGTGGCCATGTCTGTGGGGCATCTTCTTGATTATTGAATGATGTCAGAGGGCCCAGCCCACTGTGGGTGGTGCTACCCCTGGGCAGGTGGCCCTATGTTGTGTAAGAAAGCAGGTTGAGAATGGGCCAGGGGAGCAGGTCAGTAAGCAGCATTCCTCTGTGGACTGTGTTCCAGCTCCTGCCCCCAGGTACTTGCCCTGAGTTCCTACCTTGGTCTCCCTCAGTGATGAACTGTGACCCCAGGAGATATAAGCTAAATAAACCCTTTCCTCCCCAAGTTGGTATTGGTCAGAATGTTTGGTCATGGCAATGGAGAAACAAACTAGAACAATATTCTTGCCAATATTTGATATCTTCTGTTGTTTTTATTATAGCCATTCTGATAGTTGTTGCTTGATATTGATTTAAATGAGGCTTTCCCTAATGATTAGTGACACTGAGAAGTTTTCAGACATCTGTTGGTAATCTGTATGTCTTTTGAGAAATATGTAGTTATGTCCCTTCTTGCATTTTTTCAAGGTATATTTTAACTGAATTTTTGTATATTTCATATAAAACATCTTAAATCATCCTTATACCCTCTCTCCCATCTGAACCCCCTATTGGCCCCCTCCCCCACTAGATTTCATGCAATCTGTCATTTATGATAAGGCCTATCCCCATCAAGCCCAGTTTGTTTACCCAGATGTTCCTTAGTGCAAGTTCATCTACTGGAATCTAGTAAACCTGTCTAGAATCACTCCCTTAAAGAAGATTAGCTTTCTTTCATCCAGCAGTAATCAGCTGCCAAGAGTTCTTCAGCTAAGGTTAGGGCCCAATGCCAATTTCCCCAGTCTAAGATGGATTTTTAATCTGTTTGGTTTTGCCTGGGTCTTGTGCATGCTGACATCTTTGCTGAAGGTTCATATATGCAAGGTCCCAGAAGCCTGTGAGACTCTGTTTCTATATGATCATGCACCTTGTCCTCTGGTTCTTAAAATGTTTCTGCCCCGTCTTTTGCCATGGGTGGATAAGGTTTAATATAGGAGTCCTGTTCAGGGACCCACACTCTACAGACTCTTAGCCTCTACTCTTTGGCCAGTTGTGGCCTTCTGTGTGCATCGTACTCTATTGCATGAGGAAGTTTCTCTGGTGAGAGTCCATGGATGCATTAGTATTGTCTCTATCCCCTGTTCTGCTATGTTCCATGAGCCTTAGGGGTAGAGGTTTTGTTGTAGATGTGTCACTTAGGGTTGGGCATCTCTCAGACACGTATTCTCTGTGCGTGACCAGTTGTGGAACCTGTAGTAGCCTTGTCCATTTTTTAAAACAGGGTACTTTTGCTACTGAGTTGCTAAGCTCCTTTGATAGCTTGGATGTCACTCCTCTATTGGATACCTGGCTTTCAGATATCTCCCCGATTTTTAGGCTGTTTGTTCTCATTATTGATTATTTCTTCTTCTGTGCAGAAGCTTTTTAGTTTATTTCCATTTGCCTTGTACTTTTGTTGCCTATCCCTTGAGGAATAAATCTGAAGAGATCATTGCCCAAATGTTACATTTCCCCCTTGTATTTTCTTGTAGTAGTTCAACTGGTTATGATTTTACATTTAAGCTCTTAGGTCATTGTGAGTTGTTTTTTATCTATGGTGCAAAATAAAATGTCCAATTTCTTTCTTTAGCATATGTCTATCCACTTTCCCCAGCATTGTTTACTGGGACTACACACTTTTATTATAATATAATGCTTTTTTTTAGTTTCATTTACATGGAAGACCTTTTATCATTCCTGTACTTTAAATCTGGGATTGTCCTTAAAATTAAGTAATCAAGGTGATTCTCTCTAGTAGCTTGTAATTGAATCATCTATGGGTTTGATTTGTTGATTGATAGACAGTTCTAGCCCAGTCTGGCCTCAAATTTAGGCTCCTCCCTCCTCAGCCTCCTGAATACTTTGATTACAGGTTTACACCACTGTGACCTGTTATTGTTATGGCCTCTGTTATTATCTCCTTCTCCCCCTCCCTCTCTTTATTCTCCCTCCTCCTCTTCATCATCTTCTTACCATTCATTTACTGTTGTTATATTAGAGAATTATTTAATTCACTTATATTCAAGGAAGTATTTTGGTAGGTAACAACTTGTAAGTGCCATCCTGTTAGTTGTTTTGTATTTTGGCTTCATTCGTCTTTTCTTGATATTTTCTTCAGTGGTTTGATGAGTTTCTGTGTGAAATGTTTTGACTCCTTTCTGCTTTAGTTTTGTACTTCTTTATATTTTTTGTTTTGTGGTTATCTTGAGGCTTATGTTGAACATCTATAACAGCCTATATCAAACTTATCACCACTTCATTGAATAGAATCATCTGATCCTTTTATTTCTCTACGCATCTCCTAGGACTAGTTCATTCTATACTTAATTCTCAGGTTACAAAATGAATCATTTCCCAGAGAACAGAGCACAGTGGTGAACAGCTACAGTTTCCTGGATGACCAGGGAGAGAGATAAAAGCAACTTTCCTCCAAGGCAGAGGGTGATCATTTTTGCTGAAAAATAGTATTTAACCCATTAGATGACTTTATGCAGAAATGTCATCAACAACAAAGCTGTTGGGAGACAACAATAACTTAGCCAGTTATGTGACTCTAAAATTAGGACTTTTAAAAAGTTAAATTGGAGCAAGTGACACTAGAAGATTAATTACATAACAAAAATACAAAGAAAAATCAACCATAGTCTGGCATCAGGTGTTACTAATGTATGGCTCACTGCTTACTATAGTGTTCATGGAATAAACATGACCTTCTACAATGATACAAGAACACACTTGGCAAAAGGTCAAAGGTAGAGTAAAAGGCCACTGAATGCCTCAAAGCTCTTTAAATTGTGGTCTGATCAGCTCAATACCTGATCCATTTATCATTTATCTTTATATCTATCAGTACACATTTCATGAAATTACTCCGATAAAGTGAATAAAGGTCAATTGTATAAGTCCATTGTCAAATTCCTTTTCATTTATAGATAGGTGTGGCCTCTGTCTAGTCAATTAGCAAGCATACAAGATGTAACAAGCACGCATGAAGCCATTATCTTAGGAGGATAACTTAGAGTCTGGGAACATAGTAACAGTTCACTACAAACCTGGAGTGCTGAGTCTCTAATAAGTTTTCCCTGGTAGACAACACTCCACACATGTTGCCACAACTTATTGCACATTCTTTTGGGATTCCACTGAGAGAAGACTCAGGAATTTGCTTAGGTTCCTACAACCTTTTCTCCATGTGCTTTTTAACTTTGCTGATTTGATTTGATTTGATTTTGTAATAAATATTAGCTGTGGGTGAACTTCGTACTGATCCTGCTGAGTCTTTCTATCGCTATCTCTGATACCGGAGGTGGTATTAGAGTCTTCTGACACACCACATTTAATTGAATGTCCATATCAAGATACATAAAGTCTAAAGAATTGATTGATATTCCATATGAACTGTAGCCAAGACAAATCAGTAGCCCAATTGTGGTGTCTATCTGTATACAGAACTGCATCCAAGGTACTTGATTAAGCCAAAACCAAATGAGGTAGACGTGGGATTATTTCTTTCAGACTTTCAAAGATTTGGACACACTATCATATTCAGATTATTAAGAGCCAGAGACATGCAAGTTTATAAGAACAAGTGGGTTTTGACAGTAAACAGTCAGGAGGTAGGAGACGGATTTTGAAAGGGAACAATTGCAAGTGGATAGCTGGCATATGCTGGAGAAGTGAAATGTAAAGTGCATCAGGGAATAAGTAATGATAATTGTGTATTTTCAAATGCTCTGGTTAACCCTAAGAATATGAATGCTTCATTTATAATTCAGTTTCATGCAAAACTGATGGATTGCAGAAGTCCCATTAAAATTCAATGATGTTTAAAAAGCATTCCTGGGGCTAGAGAGATGGCATAGTAGTTAAGAGCACTGGCTGCTCTTGCAGAAGACATGGGTTTAGTTCCTAGCACCACATGGTAACTCCAATTTCAGGGGATCTGATGCCCTCTTCTAACTTCCATGGGCATTGCATTGGTACACTTACATGCATGCAGGCAAGATACTCATACACATAAAATAATAATTTTTAATTAAATAAAAATGTTCCTCTTAGTAATGCTCAGAACTTCCATTCTATGTCTCTAATTAAGCTGTCCTTTCCTCTCTGTTCTTTGTTAAGGGCCACAATGAGCGAGAAATGGAACCTCAACTCTTCAGAAAACTGGAATCCCATCTGGATTAGCAATGACACACAGCATCATCCATACTCAAATGTTAACATTACCTATGTGGACTACTATCTTCATCAACCTCAAGTGGCAGCGATCTTCATTATTTCCTACTTCCTGATTTTCTTCCTGTGCATGGTGGGAAATACCATGGTTTGCTTTATTGTAATGAGGAACAAACACATGCACACAGTCACAAATTTCTTCATCTTAAACCTGGCAATAAGCGATTTACTTGTTGGGATATTCTGTATGCCTACAACACTGCTGGACAATATTATAGCAGGTATGTTGACTTGTGTGTGGTATAAAGATGATGGCAGAAAATTCTATCTACAAATCTCCAGAATCAGAGCAGGATCACTCATTCATTCATTCATTCATTCATTCACACATATTTATCAAGTTCCCAGAACTATTCCAGTTATCTGTCTTCACAATATCAGCATTTGAAATGAGATATATAATAAACATATAAATGCACAGTTTGGGAACAAGAAGTACAGAGAAAATTTCAAGTGACAGATGTAGAGTGGAAGTCATTAGTTTTATAGACCACTCAGTGAAGGTCATTGGAGAATGAGAACCATAACTTCTTACTAAAACATTTGAACTTGCTTACTGCCAACCAGAGCACATACAATCAAGAATATTATATTATGAACTGTCAAGTTCAAGGAACCAGTGCATCTGATTTCAATGGATGTGCTCCAAAATAACATCACAGGAATTTCAATCTAATTTAAACTGGTTTTTAGGCTCTGCTGGGCTTAATCAAAAAGATTTCTAGCAATTTTTGAGGGACGATGGAGCAGTCCAAATGATTTCTCAGCAAGTGGTATTTTATTATGTTCTATACATGTCACTTCCTGTGGTAGGGGTTCGGGTACCTCCCTCCAGCATGCCTGGGTGCATGTCATCACTTCTTTGGCATCATCTTATATGAGCTGAGGTGCAGGGACAGTGTAGTTCCAGATCCAGCAGAGTTTTCATACAGAGTCAGTTTACTATTGCTGTATTAACTGAGCAACACACTTGAGATGTTCAATTCCAATCCTTGTAAGAAAGCAGGAAGCCATCACAGCATATTGACTTTATCCACAGTAACCAACAGCAGTTTCTGCACAAAATTATTTTAGATTGAATGATGATTTTAATATTTTGCAGAAGTTGCCTCACTGTGCCCGTTCATTTCCTTCCTCAACAGCCTGCTGCTTTCCGTACTTCTGGTCTTTGCTTTGGGTCATTATGGCCATATTTCTAAGTAATGTAATTTGATGTCATATAAAATTCATTTTAATAATCTATTTCTACTTCACAAACACAGAATACATTCATATCCTTACCTAATCCCACCCTCTCAGTATGGGGGAAGCTCAGTGGTCTCTCTGTCTCTTCACTGATACCCTGACAATCTTTGTCATTTCTCTTGTCCTCAGTCCTGTTTTGTGGGTGCAACATCTCTTTCTGCTTTTTCCTTCCTGAGAAATGGTGCATACAAAGAAACACTTGTGAGAACTTAAATGTCTGCAAATGCCCTTTTTTACCATCACACTTGACAGCAGCTAGCTGCATGAACAATCAATCCTAGGTTAGAAGTTTGCCTCTCAGAATTTTAAAGGAATCCCTTTCTTATGACTGCTGAGAAATGCTGAGTTGCTTCTCAAAATTTTGACTCTTGCTTTTTGTATTTGATTTGTATATTTTTCTTCCTGAAAGTTTTTAGTCTTTTTATTCCTAGTATTCTCAAGTTTATGAAATTAGGCCTTAGTTTTCTCTGGTTTATTTATTGCACTCGATGCAAACTATTCATTTCAATCAGAAAATGAGTGTCCTTTATCCTGGGGAATTTTCTTAGAGAGTCCTTTTCATTCTCCCTTCTTTGACTATGTTAATCATGTGTAAGAGTTCTGGGTGGCCACTTTTAATCTTTTCTCATCTATCTTATGCTTTATTGTCCTATTTTTCAAAAGTGTTCAGAGTGCTAGAGGTGTGATGAAATATACTCATAATCCTAGCACTTTAGAGGATTGGGGGGGTGCAATTTAAAGGCCAGCTGGGGCTCATAGAGACTCTGTCACAAAAATCTAAGGACCTGGGGCTAGACAGATAGGTAGCTCAGTAATGAGGTGCATGTGCTGTTCCTCTAGAGGAGCCAGCTTCAGTTTCTGGCGGCACCCATACCAGTTGGCTCACAACTGCCTGTAACTCTAGCACCAGGGGGAACTGAAACCCCCTTCTGGCCTCTGCCGGCACCCTCAATCCCATGTACAACCCCCCCATTACATAATTTAAAATAAAAAATAAATTAAAATTCTTAAGGACTGGAGATGGAGAGATGGTGCAGTGGCTTAACAGCACTGACTACTCATGCAGAGGAACTCAGTTCAGTTCCCAGCACCCATTTGGCAGCTAACAACCCTCAACTACTCCAGTTCCAGGAAATCTGAAGTCCTCTTCTGGCCTCAAGGAATTGCACACATGAGTGCACTTGCAATCATCCAGGCAGGGTTCTTAAACCCTAAGCCATCTCTCCAGTTCCACCAGTGAAATTTCTAGCTCTGGGTCTTTTTAATATTTAATTATTGTACTGTCTAGAGTCTACATAACCTGGCTTATAAAAGTGGCTGAGACGAAAGAACCAACTTGTACATGATGTGATGTCTTAGCTTTTGACTCCAACATTTCTTGCACATAAAATTTTTAAAAATCTAAGAGCGAAGGATTTAGTTCATAGCCACAATGCCTGCCTAGTTTGTGTAAGGTCCTGGATTCAACCCCCAGCACTATAGGGCAGGGAAAGGGTTTTCCTGAACTTTTATTTTGAATCCTTCATTTTTGTTAAAATATGTGGCCTATTTTTATTTGTTTTCTGAATGTTCCTTTTATGCCATATACATATTTTGTGGTGCAGTCATTTCTACGGAGTTTAAGTGAGCAACACAAGATAAATCTTACACTATAGATATATTATTTGGGGCTAGGAACCACATAGTTGCTTATTGTTGGTATTTTGATCAGCTGTGGAACTGTATAATGGCTCCATCTGTTGTACAAAGAAGCTTCTTTGATGAGTGGTGAGAGCTATACTTATCTGTAAATATAAAGATAGGTATTTAGAATATAGTAAGAAATTAGGGCTGGAGAAATGGTTCAGCAGTTAAATTCACTCCCTGCTCTTGCAGACTATCCAGGTTCGGTTCCCAGCAGCTACATGGTGGCTAACAACTGTCCATAACTCCAGTTCCAAGGGATCCAACGCCCTCTTCTGACCTCCACAAGCATTGCACGACTCAGGTGCATTTATGTACACACAGGCAATACACTCATACACATAATAAATAAAAATAGTAAATAAAATATTTTTTTAAAAAACAAATTACATTGTTTTAGGAAAGTGGCAGTAGCAGGTTCTCCTCTAAGGTTTATGTTCTCTTTAACCATGTGGATCTGGCTATGTTTGCAATGCCATGCATGGATTCCCTCCTATTAAGTTGGGCCCATCACCATTGTGGTTCACAGGCTTCAGGTGGAAATGCTACAGATACAATATCTACATAATAAATTATATACAAAAAAAAGGATTTTTACCTACATTAGTATTCCAAGGTTTGTATGCTGTCTTTTGCATCTATTTTTTTAATCAAATAAGCACAACCTAACAAATTTCAATGTTTTTTTTTTTTGGTTTCCATTTGGTAGAATCATTCAAGAATCTATTTTAAGTTTATAGGCTGCTAAGGCAGGAGGATTGCATGTTTGAGGTCAGCCTGGACAACATAGTAAGACATTGTCTCAGAAAGAAAAGCAAAATAAAGCTAATCTAATATCTTTTTATTGTGTTATTTCAGTACTAGACATTAAATAAGAATATTTTGCTTTTGAAAAATAAACTATACTTTTAAAAGATAAATTTTAAAAATCAAAAATACATATACAGAGTATTTGAGAGAAGAAATTACTTTTCCTTACTAGCAGATGGGTGTTTAGAATGTCAAACTGCTACAGTAGTTTCACTGATTTCTCTTACAAACATCTTAGTAGCTGAGGTCTAGTTAAGTAATTCTAGTACATTATTTGCATTCATGAAAAATAATCTTTATTCCAAAAGTCACTATTATGTCAATTGTACATTATGCATATTTCTTTTGTATGTAACTCCTGATTCCTCACAATTTATGCGATATGCTTCCAAACTGGGAAATTAATATTCTGCATGTTTTATTCATTTAAGGCATTATCACATAAAGTTTATGATCTATACTCTGGAAACATCTTACTTAGGTTCAAATCCTTAATAGTTCTAACTAGCTGTGGCAAGATATGTGATATTTGTGTCTGTTACTTTGTCTATGGATATCATCATTAGAGAGTAATAAACCCTTCAAATTCTCATGGGGTTTAGGGCTGGAGAGATGGTTCAGTGGTTAAGACCACTGGCTGCTCTTGCAGAGGACCCGGGTTCAGTTGCCAGCATTCACATAGCAGCTAATAACCATTCATAACTCCAGTTCCAGGGACATGATGCCCTCTTCTGACCTGCATAGGCATTGCATGACTCAGGTACACTTACATGCAGGCAAAACATTCATACACATACAATAAAAATAAATTTAAAAAATTTTAAATATCATGGGGATTAGATACATTATTAAATGCACAGTGTTCCTTAGTACCTTGAATGTAATAGTTACTATATAATTTCTACACTGTGACTATTTCACTAATTAACAGACCTCTAAGGAAGTGACTGGAAATACTGGGATACATTATTCTACAGCTGCCTTGACTTCACACCTTTTGTTTATAATTGCAGTAGAATAAAATAAAACGATCTCTTTAAAACTTCAATTTTTCTTCCAGGATGGCCATTTGGAAACACAATGTGCAAGGTCAGTGGACTAGTACAGGGAATATCAGTGGCAGCTTCGGTCTTCACCTTGGTTGCAATAGCGGTGGATAGGTAAGTCAACACCGAATCCTGAATCCATGTGAATGGTTGGGCCTCTGACTAATTCAGCAGATAATAGACAAACTCCTGACTTTGAGCAAATAGTCCCTGGATAGTATAATATGCATCATACCTCTTTAAGAGCAAGGCCTATGCCTACAAAGGTTTGGCAATTTAAAAATATCTATTGAGGGGCTGGAGAGATGGCCCAGCGGTTAAGAGCACTGGCTGCTCTTGCAGAGGACCCAAGTTTAGTTCCCAGCACCAACAAGGTGGCAAACAACTGTCTGTAACTCCAGTTCCAAGGGAGCCAATGCCCTCTTCTGACCTCCATAGGCACTGTACAACATGAATGTAGTTGTATACATGCAGGCAAGACACTCATACACATAAAATAAAAATAGTAAATAAAATATTTTTTAAAATCTATTGAATTTTCTGCATTAAAATTCTGCAAATTAGGGCTAGTGTGATTTTAATTTTTTTCTCACTACAATCTAGAATTTTCTAATGGTGAGAAAACAAATAGGCTGAAATAAATCCGAAGTTTTATCCAGAGTTTAAGATTAAAATTCTAGAAGTAAGAATATGGCTCAGTAGTGGAACATGTTCATAGCATCGGTAAGGACCTGGGTTTAATCCCCAACACTGAAAAAATATTAAATGTCCCATACGAATTCATTTATTGACTTTATTGGGTTGAGTAGCTTCTAAAACTAATGACAAGTGATGCCTTAGGAAGTATGTAAGTTGGTTGAGTAACACCACCAACAGATCTATTAAAAATTACCCACAGGCCTACAAGAAGGCTCAGCAGGTAAAGGCACTTGACAATGAGCCCAATGATCTGAGTTTAATTCTTACAACTTGCATGATAAGAGAGAACAGACTTCTACCAGTTTTCCTCTCACCTACACATATACACTGTGGCATGTATGTGTATACGCACACTAATTCAGTGTAAAAAGATTTTTGTTAGAAAAATAAAAATAAATATCTATTAAGCATCAGTACATAACAATATATAACAACTATGAGGAGATAATTATTAATTCTCTCCATTATGACAAGGAGTGGTAGATCAGAACTTTATCTTGGGAGGAAAGTGGGGAAAAGACATCTCTTAAGACTAACATCCACACAGGGCATGGGAACAGAGAGATGCTTTTCCAGAGAAGCACACAAGCAGTTAAGTTTGAGTGGGGCAAGCAATTTGCACATTAGGCCCCCAAAAGAGGCCAGGGTGGGTTTTCTGTGGCCTTATCCCCAGTTTAAAAATTTTTTTAAAAAATTTTATGTGTATTGGCTGTATTGCCTGCATGGATGTAAGTACACCTGTGTCATGCAGTGCCCACAGAGATCAGAAGTGGGCATCCAGTTCCCTGGAACTAGAATTACAAATAGTTGTTAGTTTCTATGTGGGTTCTGGGAATCGAACTCAGGTCCTCTGTAAGAGCAGCCAGTGCTCTTAACTGCTGAGCCTCTCTCTAGCCCTGACTTTTCCCCAATTTTAAAGTGTAAACTGTCCTGAAGACAACAGAGACTAATTTTAGACACATTACCAGCAAATGAATCTATTGCAGTGATGTGAGATTACAAAAAGGGACTGCCATTAAGAAAGCTTTGTAACAACACAGATGGGAGAGGATAGGTATGTACATGAAGGCCATGGTGACTTGTTTGAAGAAATATTTGAGAGGTGAACTAAACAATGAGCTGTTTGATGAAAAATCTAAGTGAAATTGACCTGAAAAACCAGAATCAATCAATCAATCAATCAATCAATCAATCAATCAATCAATCTCTCTCTCTCGGCCCCCTCCTCCCTCTCTCTTTCTCTGTGTGTGTATACAAGAAGAAGGAAAAGAGTAAGATTAAAATATGAAATATACTGATAATATCAACATCAAAAGAACAAACTGGTGGCTTATGTTTGTTTAATATTCGCCTACAATTTGCATCATAATTTATAAGGTATTAATGTACTTCCAAGGACAAAACATATATAGATCATTTTTTTATTTACACATGAATGGAATTTAAACATTTACTAGTTACCAAATGCCAACACTCTCTAAGATGCACAAGACTTTAGATTCCATTTCCAGCCTCTTCCCCAAGGCGTTAGCAATTTCCCACCTTACTACGTCTTGTTATGTCAAGATACTGAATTATAACTATGTGCCTCTTTATTTTATGATACTTAAAGGAGTTCTACTGCTGAATTATTGCTTCATTGAATATTTATAAGAAATAATTCACGTAATCACATTTTTTCACATCTTATACAGTTAATACTTTCTGTGAAATTACAACTGGAAATGTCGGCCACAGTATTTGTTGTCAGAATCATTGATACATTGCTTTTCTTCTTTGCTATAACTATTTAACAAGGCCATTTGGACTGTAATAAACCATAGCAATTTTGCACAAGAGATGCACGATTATTTTTCTTTTATGTGAACACATACATTCTGGCTGCTCAAAATGGACATCACATTTTAAAGAAACACTGAACACAACAGTGTCTCTCGAGTGTAGATCATGCAGTAATTTATAGTGACCAAAGCTATATCACTTGTGATTTCTACTACAATCTTAAGCTTAGCATGTTTACGTCTACATTACATTTAGTACTGAAGTGTTTTTTTTAATTCATTATGCAATGTTTCTATCATGATTCCCGAGAAACAATTTAAAACTAAACATTGATCTTCATTTTAGAAAGTAAATGAGATTAAAATCACTAAACAATTTAATTTTTTTTGTTCAGTGGGTGACTTTATAGAGATCACGTTGAATGAATCAGGGCAACATAAGTCAACCTGCATATATTTCAAATACATAAAGTTTCAATGAGGTTGCATAATGATACATACACTATGTTGTCCTGTGAAATTTAAAACATTGTAAATACAGGCTAACACTGGAAAAGCATAAACACATACAGAGGAGGGGCGCAGGTCAACTTCAGAACGTCCCTAGAGGAATGTCTGCCAAGACTGCTGCTGAGTCTGCAAAGTTTACTTTCTTTTAAGAAAACCTGGCATAAATAGGGTATATCTGCTAGATTTGGAGAGCGGTAACACAGAAGTACATTACATATTTCCTTCTACCTTTTTTATACTTGAAAAATCATTTCAATGAGGTTAATTAATAAATGAAAGTAAGAGTATTTTATTCTTTGCATGCTGTGATGCTTTGATTTCAGAGGCATCCTGAATTTTAAATTGTGTGTTTACATATGTTTGACTTTTTTTTCAAGATTATAACTTTAGTTTTCCTCATTTCATTTTTTAATT